TAGCAAGATTCCTTATAACTGCTTTTTTTATGTTGAGTACGATAATTTAACGTCTTAATAAATTTACATTGTATTTGCTCTATATTCTCTATATAAGACAAATAATGCGGATTCCAGACATTACAACAATACTCCAAAACACTTCTTACATAAGAATAATACAAATTTTTAATACATTCAGAATTTGAGAAAGGACGGGACACTCTTAGAACAAATCCTAAATTTTTATACGCTTTTGCAACCATTGTCGTGACATGATTAGACATAAGCATCTTGGAATCAAAAATAACACCAAGATCTTTGGTTTGGTAGATGCGCTCCAAAGGTATGTTATCTAATTTATATCGATATCAATTTGGTGTCTTTTCCGAGTGAAGCTTATTTGATAACATTTTGTTATATTAACACTAATACGGTTATCATGATAGAAGAAACAAAGCTGGTTCAAGTCTTTCTGAAGTTGATGTGCATCTTCCTCAGACTTAATATATGCGTAAATTTTAGTGTCGTCCGCATACATGAGAATACATGAGACATTCCAATCAATTTCATTTAATTTTTGTTTTAATATATTATAATCAATTAGTTGTTTAACTTTTGCACCATCCCGTATAATGTTTGCAACTCCGCTTCCTATGCACGACAACACAACCATACGATGGTCCGCCATTACTGTACCGAGTTTAAGGACTTTAACAGTAACTTGAGTTTAAGGATACATTTGGTAAATTGTATAAAGGTTGCATTTCATCAAAGCACCATGTGATCTGATTAAAATCACAGTTACATATTTCTGTAACTGATTTTATGAAATTTGTTACAAAATTTGACTTCCCACATCCACTCGGTTCTGCCACAATAGCAGTAAACGGATGGATAAAGTGAAACATTACACACGTCTAAAGTTCTAAGGGGTGAAATAAAAAATGAAAGTGTTGGTGTAAACAATTAATATATATTGCAAAAACTATATAAAACAGAATGATCTGTATACTATTTCTAACACAATTAGTACATCATAATTTTACAATCAACTCAACCTCAAATAAATACACACACACGCAAATATAAACAACAATTAAATTTTTTTTTTATAGGATAGGGTGACAAACGAGCACACAGTCCACCTGATGGTAAGTGGTTGCTGTGGCCCATAGACATCTACATCCATCCTCGATTACGAATCAAAATGCAGATGCGTTGCCACCCGTGAGGACTAAGATGGAATGCCTCGTTTCCAGTAAAAAGGGTCTCCGGTTCTCTACACTAAAATAAAGATTTATTTTATTTATTTATTTTTTATTTCCAATAAAACAATGATTAAATATGTAATAAACTCTACGTCATATTATAGTATTATCATAATTTTACAATCAATACAAATTTTATTTACACGCAGACATAAAAGTAAAAACTATCAACACTTAGCGCAGTTTATAATGACCCCAAGCTAATGTTTCAATATTATTATCTAAAATATGCCTCTTTGTGTCATTATATAAACCAATCTTATTTAATTTTTGTGTAAAATAAGTGTGTTTAATTGATTTAAATCTAAGCATACTATAATATTGCACTCTTTTATTAAATAGAGAAGACTTATAACTATTCATTGTCATCTTTTTAGTGATACATTTATTTCTTTTTTATTTTGTAAATAAAAATTGTAACAAAATTAGGTAATGTGTTTTATTGATGATTCAGATTAGCGTTGTATATAGGAACAAAGAAGTATAATACAATAGCACTGATAAGCCGATGCATACGCCGAGGAAAAATAGACAACGACGGTATTCAATGAACAATAGATAAATAGATACGAACAATGGGGCGCTAATGGCGGTAGTTAATTGATCTGCACATCTCCGGAACCGTGCATCCTACGCAAAAACGGACCGCAGATTCGTGATCAGAGCATGCCAAAACTTCTTTTTTAGGATCGTGAGTCGACGAACGTTGTACCACTTCTGACTCAGTGAGCCAGAAGTGGTACTACCTATCTACTCCTATAACTGCAAAATAAAATAAGGCGTGTATAAAGAATATCGTCGGTAAAAAGCTATATAGATCATTAAACAATAAAATTAAGTTAAATGTGGCATAACATACTGTGTCCCTAATGTCATATTGTAATACAAATATGTTAGACATAATATTAAAATACATATGTAAAGGAAAAACTATCATCTTTCCAAAACTAATCAAACACTCACTATTACTAAAAAAAAACAAAAATAAAGGTAGCACGTAAACATTATAGTATAAACAAATAACATAGAGTTAGCAGAAAACACGACTTAGGTCTGTATCAGATCGGATGCGTGTTACGGGCTTTCCGTCATCCTTCCTTACGAATATTTGACCACCCTTTGTCCATGTGTAGCGCGAACTTGCCATTTTTGCTGCTTCACGTGTCTTTCCAAACAATTTCCTATTGACGGGAGTGAGCCGCTCATTAATGTAAACCCTACACGGATCTCCGGGCCACACCAGTGAATCACTTGTTATGTTGCGTCGCACCTGCGCACAACGTAGGAACTCGTCCCGAACTGCACGCCGACTCATCCGCACCACAATCTTGCGGGGTCCAGTAGACATCAGTTTTTGAGCGCTATTGTTATTACAATAAGATGTACGCAAAACACCAGCACGCTCCGCATGAACTATCTCACGGTGATCAATACCGAGACCCATCTTTTTAGCGCATAGCACCACGGTATTGATAGGATTTCCACCTTTTTGCTCCGATAACCCCGATATCTCCAGGTCACTGACGAGGAGGTCCCGATCTCTCTCATTAAGTTGGACTCTAAGTTCACTAATCGTGTCCTCTAGTATTTTAGTGTCGCACTTAATCAAATGTTCTTCATATAGTTTTTCCAACTTGGTGACTCTGCAATCCATTTCCTCCAGGCTTTTATTACACGCAAGAACTGTATCCTTTACCATAGTTATATTGTCCCTGACTTCCTTCAGCTCATTCCTCATAGCGCTAAGCTCATTTCGAAAAAGACGAATTTCTAAACCAGTATCGATATTTTTATGGAGAGGACTACATTCACTAACTTCTTGGCATTTAACCGGTGTGTTGGAATGGTCTCTAGTGCGAGGATCCTTATTTTTACAAGCAGGACACATCCATGAAGCTGCTATCTTCGTCTTCTCAGAGAGGTTCAGACAGCCTCGACGATAGGCTACATCACATTTGCCACATATAATACCATCTGTCATCGGCAGGTAGCGACCATAGGCTCCACACCTGACCATGGTGAGTTGATTGAGATAGACTTATTTATATCGCGTTTATTTATTTATGTACGTTGCAGCGTCTTACTACCAGTAGCCGAGGAGGGCAATAAACACAAAACTATTGATTACCACTACTGACCAGTTTTATGGTTAACACAACACAACAATCATTGTCAATATTTTATAATTATTATAAATAATCTAGAATTAAACTTTAAGAGTTCAATAAAACAGTAATTATTGCAGAACAAAAAGTAAACATAATGTTTGTTAACAAATGAATATGTAACACGAATAGAGTTATGTTAACATTTAGTAAGAATAACGCGGTAGATCGATATCGTTGATAGTTTTATTTTAGCACTTTCAATTTTAATGTTATTTATTTTGATTTCGCTTAACTAACGTTTAAGTATTCTACACAATGTTCTAAATTGTTATACACACTCACTTTTATGACTTTAAATGTAAGATAATTATTTTAAATTAAGCAAATTAGAGCACTACATTGATAACGTTACTCGCCCGACGGTAGATCAACTCCCTAAATATGTTCGGCCAGTACAAGAGAATAAGAAACTTCTTCAATTTGATGTAGTAAGTTCTTCAAGCTATGAAGAAAAATCTTCACTTTCTAGAGAAACTTGCAAACTTGCCTCTCGTGCCGGCCGGCCGCATGGAATCAATGACACACGCGCTACTCGCGGGCACGGGCGAAATTTTCAAAATGTACGTAAACTTTCCACGCTTATAATTTCGGTAAAATAGTGCGCCGATCGATGTGAAATAACAACTAGAATTATGTGTTTGGTCTACATTTTTTACCTACGTACTTAAAAGTCTAATATTGTTACCTTGTTATCTTCTCCATTGCTAGGTCACAAAAGGGAAATGATCCGACCAATAAATACTGTGTAAAATTTCGACACTGCGCAGTTTGGTAAGCGGCAGTAGTAGTCACACAGTGATCGAGCCATCTTCTACTACCGTGTGCATCACTTACATATGTAAAAGAGTCAGAGTACATACCGAGTTTGTCCATATCAGCACACTGCCGACACTGATCCGTACAAAACTTTAATAATTCGTAACCAAATAGCTCACCTGGGTGAGCATTGAAATCACCAACAATGTAAACTGTTTCTATCGCACAACTCTCAATGATAGCACTAATTCTACCTAGACACTCCGTGAACTCAATTATGTTTTCATTTTTACTCACTGGCCTATAAATACTGAAAACCAATATGGATCGGTCATCACTAACGGCCTTTATTGCATATACCCTAGGATTTTCACAGTCGATCACTGTCACTGAAGTAAACGCCACCTTACGCCACAAGATCGCAACACCCCCATACGGCCTGCCGCGAAGCAAACCAGCAGAAGTATTAACTGCCGACGTACCGGTGCCCGCGAACTCATCGCTAATAGTATTCAAAAAAGGAAGATCATCACACAGTAACCTCGTCAGGTGACTGACACAGTGACCTCACACATGCCTCAGAACGCTTAATATTCTTGCTCGTATATAATTAATAATGTCCGTTTCGGCGGAGTCTTTATGGACATTAGAGATAAACAAAGGAACTTTTATATCCGCAGCTTTAAACTTTTCAGTGGACTGAACATTTGTTTTCCCTTTCTGCCCTATAAAACGATTTCTATATCTTTTCCTCTGTACCATAATCCAGTCGTCCGCTGGTCGATCTATTTTCCATTCTCCTTCATTACGTACCATTTCTTCCATACTAGGCTTGTTTACATTCGGTACTCACTGGTGGCGATCTCAGCGGCGGCGGTGGTGAAACTCGTGTAGGCTTAGCGACTCGAGACGCTATATTAGACAGCACCGTCGTCACAGCCTCAGTGTTCGAGTGAGTTTGTATCGTAGGGGCGCTGGGTCCGTTGTTACTGCATTCATATTGTTCATTGTACGATAGCGCAGTCGGTCCGCTATCTAACATATACCCTCCAATTTTTTTTTTTGCTAACGCTTACATCCAAAAGATTTGTCGGGGCACAAATTTGTTTAATTCTTGTACACGATTATTAACTTCTTCTGTAGTAACATAGGATTACTTTATGCAAGAAATTTCCGCTTTTAATATTTGTATATCCTTGACCAATTTCGTCAAATCTATATGATCGTAGCTAACAGGGGGTAATTTATTCAAGTCCCAGCAACAAATATAGGAAATAATTCTGGATCATTGCCCTTAAAAAATGCAATCATATCCTCTATATCTCGAACATGTTTTCCGGAGCCCTTTCTCACACGTCGTCTCGTTGATGACGATGTCACCGAAGAAAATAATAAAATTTTCGCCTTCTCAATATCTTGCGCAGAAAAACCAGTTAAACATATTCTCACAATTTGATCTTCAGTTAACACCTCTAACTTATTCTGCAATAAGGCACAAGACCAAACGTTCCAATATTGTGGATTGAATTTGGGAGAATACCGTTTTTCACATGGTCAACTCACCAGATGCACCAGAACATAAGACAGTAAATGTAGTGCATAAGAATGTATTGTAATATAGGTATTCAGTACATGACTATCTGTGAAGTATTTTTGTATAATGAATAAAAATATGTAAGAAGAAAAAACTTAAAAATTTAACAAGAAAAATCACGTGTTCTGAATTAAAAAATAACATATTTAATAAAATATACACACACATGAATAAATATTCGACAAAAACTAACCCAGCGAAGCGGGTTTTCACAGCTATTGTACATATTTCATCAGAGAAGAAGAATTATTAGAATATTGTACATATTTTATCAGACAAGAAGATTTTGCTCCAGTGTGTATATTCAAATGCCTTACATATTACATGAAAAAGGTTTTTCATTGTGCATTTTCATATGTGTTTGCAAATGACTTTTTCTAATACATCTATATTCACAGGTTTTACACGAAAAAGGTTTTTCACCGGTGTGTATTTTCATATGTATTTGCAATTGACTTTTTCTAAGACATCTATATTCACAGGTATTACACGAAAAAGGTTTTTCACCGGTATGTATTTTCATATGTGATTGCAAATTACTCTTTGTAATACATCTATATTCACAGATATTACACGAAAAAGGTTTTTCTCCGGTGTGTATTTTCATATGCGTTTGCAAATGACTGTTTGTAATGCATCTAAATTCACAGATATGACACGAAAAAGGTTTTTCACCGGTGTGTATTTTCATATGCCTAAGCAATTCACTTTTTCTAATACATCTATATTCACAGGTAATACACGAAAAAGGTTTTTCATCGGTGTGTATTTTCATATGTGTTTGCAAATGACTCTTTGTAAGGCATCTAATTTCACAGATATTACACGAAAAAGGTTTTTCACCGGTGTGTATTTTCATATGTTTTTGCAAATTACTTTTTCTAATACATCTATATTCACAGGTATTACACGAAAAAGGTTTTTCACCGGTGTGTATTTTCATATGTGTTTGCAATTCACTTTTTCTAAGACATCTATATTCACAGGTATTACACGAAAAAGGTTTTTCACCGGTATGTATTTTCATATGTGATTGCAAATGACTCTTTGTAATACATCTATATTCACAGATATTACACGAAAAAGGTTTTTCTCCGGTGTGTATTTTCATATGCGTTTGCAAATGACTCTTTGTAATGCATCTAAATTCACAGATATGACACGAAAAAGGTTTTTCACCGGTGTGTATTTTCATATGCCTTAGCAATTGACTCTTTGTAATACATCTATATTCACAGATATTACACGAAAAATGTTTTTCTCCGGTGTGTATTTTCATATGCGTTTGCAAATGACTCTTTGTAATGCATCTAAATTCACAGATATGACACGAAAAAGGTTTTTCATCGGTGTGTATTTTCATATGTGTTTGCAAATGACTCTTTGTAATGCATCTAAATTCACAGGTATTACACGAAAAAGGTTTTTCACCGGTGTGTATTTTCATATGTGTTTGCAAATGACTCTTTGTAATGCATCTATATTCACAGGTATTACACGAAAAAGGTTTTTCACCGGTATGTATTTTCATATGTGTTTGCAAATGAATTTTTCTAATACATCTATATTCACAGATATTACACGAAAAAGGTTTTTCTCCGGTGTGTATTTTCATATGCGTTTGAAAATTTCCTTTATTTGTACATTTATAATCACAATTATTACAACAGTACACTTGCTTAGCGACGTGCGCTTTAAGATGTGCTAAAATGCAACGTTTATAAGATGTTTTAAATTCGCAAATATCACAGTTATATATATCAGTTAGTTGTGGTACTGGAGTTTGTTCAACTTGTGCCTTAACTGCATCCGAGTTCTTTTGCGTCTTATGACTGTATGATATGTGGTCGGCAAGAATATCTTTTGTTAAAAACTTTTTTCTACAATCATCACATTCAAAAATGTATTTTGCTGATGCCTCAGATGTGTTTTCCGTCAGTACATTTACACTCTGTTTAAAATTTTTCTTTTTCATGATTTTTGCAGGATGTTTCCCTTTTTTAATAACTGGTTTAGTATCTCTTTTCATTTTAGGCTTTGTTTTAATAAGAAGCCTTTCTAAATCGAGGTTTCTTTTACGAACATCATTTATGTTACAATCAGTAGAATTTGATTTAATCTCACACGGTTTCGAAAACATATTTGTTTGTATGCAGGTTTGTTCTGAAACACAAATGAATCAAACATTTTATTTATTGTAAGAAATTGTATCTTTATTGTAAGATAACTTACACGGTTTACATTAGGCGGAGTTTATGTCTTTTGGCATTGTCTCTGTCGGTCAACCAAGGGAGATATAGAGAAATTATAATATTTTACATAATTATACTAAATAATGTTATGATTTCTTAAATTTACGCGAACACTACACATTGAATAAAACTATTATTTACGGATTTTTTCGCGTTTAATTACTTTAATTTATTTTTATTATTATCCCGACGTTTCGGGTGCTTTACAGTTTAAATAATGTTGCTAGATATAAAGTATTTTAGCCAATTTCTCTAAATAACACATTCATTTTTGGTGGGAAAGAATGGAATAGAATATTTATTTGAATAATAATGTTGACGTTGTTCTGACCGTGTTATAATTATATTAATGTAATGATCGCTGGTTCAAATCCCACACAGAAAGAGTGTTATATATATACATACATACATACATTTTGACCAGTACTTTTTATCTATCTATCTAATTGCTGTTTCGAAGTCCATACAGAACTAGTGTTACATACACAGTACAGACGAAGTTGGCGTGTAAGTGCGGCATAAGAGAATTCATCATCACATTTTATCCCGTGAGTTTCGTAAGAGCCGATTTTGGGTTTGGTTTTCCGACAGATGGCGGTATAAACACCTCGTTTACTTCACATGCAAAATATCCAGACCGGCGACAGGCAACATTGCCAGAGGTGCTCACGTCTGGTTCTGCGATCGTCAATCCTATGCCAAGCGTGACGACTGAGGCAAATCCTCCCTACATCGGGAGAGATCCTTCCATGTGCAGTAGTGGAAGTTTACGGGACGATTAAGATAGAGGAATTATTTGTAGGCCATACAAAGACACAAAACAAGCCCTGGTAGCTCAGGAGCCAGCAGTTTGCCATAAAATTTCACAGTACGCTAGCAACTCTGATTTGTTCTCCACAAGCACCCATAAAATTGTTAATTTTCTATCTGTATGTGTATATAGTTCAGTGATCGGTTAAGTCATAATAGTTAACAGATAAATTAAAAAAAATCTTTACTATGTATTTTAAAAATTACAGGCATTTATAAAAAAATCGAGAAAATCTACATCCTGTAAAGGTCTTTTAACTCCTGTTGCTATATATTTCAATTATTTTTTAATTTTCTTTTTATTATGTAATCCTGAACAATTCTTTTGAAAATAATGCTTCGGCTTAATATTTACTTATATACCTATTGAATAATTATATATTGAACTGCTACAGTCCAGAAGGATATGTAATTTTTTTACACAACCATGTATTTAAAATTAATTCTTTGCCCAGGTTTAAACGACTGTACTGAAAAGAAATAATATACTACACGAGTTTGGCAAGTAACTTTATAAGTTGGCACATTTCATAAGGATTCCAAACTGGTATAACACTTGTAAGACTATTTGTTAAATTATGGATTTTTTTTTAAAGAAACCCAGTTGTAAATTAACTTTCCTTATTTGTCTAAAATAATTTTTGTGTACCCCAAGGCTTACCGCAAGCCCGTTACTTAAGATTATACATAAACTTAACATACATAAACACCCACGCTTGTCACCCAGAGGGGTAGGCAGAGACTACAGACTTGCGTTTGGCACGATCCTGACACACCACTCTCACCTCCTCCACATCCATATACCTACGCATATATGCTCGTCGGTTAAGGGTACTCTTAATTTGGCCCATTTTCAATATATCGCCAATTTGGTGGATAAAGTTTCGCCTAGGATGTCCCTTTCCGACTCTTCCATTCACTTCTGCAACATAAATTTGCTTTGTCGTTCTTTCCTCATTCATTATTTCTACATGAACAAACCACCGGAGCATTCCCTTTTTTAATTCTGGTCATAACATCATCTTGCAAACCACACTTTTCTCTTATCACACAATTTCTCACCCTGTCACTCAGATTCGGCCCTAACATACTCCTTAGCCACCGCATTTTTACTGCATTTATTCTACTCTCGTGCTTCTTCTGCCACACCCAACTTTCACTACCATACATTAAAGTAGGGACCAACACAGCACTGTGAATTGCCATACGTGCCTTTTTTGACACATTTTGACATTTCACAATAGAGTGGAAATAAAGTAGAGCCCCATTTACTTTATTTCCTACGTTCACTCGTCGTTATATCCCCCATCCCTGCTGAATACACATCTTAAATATACAAACTCATCTACTTGCTCAAGTCTAGTTTGAGTGAAACGGAGGGAACCAGTTGACGAAGTGTGAGCGAGACAGATAGTGACGTTACGACAAAGATGGAGAGAGTAGTTTTACGGAGTTTGAGCGAGACAGATAGAGACGCTATTTTTTCACTGTCACACACAAAATTAAGTTCAGCACTTTACGCTCCTTCGTTTATTGCGCATCTTTCTCCATTCGTTCGTGTTAATTTCGTACTGACCAAGTTGGCTTCGTTTAATGGAATTGATTGCTTGTGATTTGGATTTGGCCTGTATATTTTCACTTTAAGACGACCTTGTCTTAGCGCGACCATGTCTGCGTACACCACACAAGAATATGCTAACTGCATGTTAGCATATTCATTTATGCGGAATGCAGATGCAACGCTAGTTCTGCAGCTAGACTTTATCGTGAGACGTACCCAAATACTGCTCGTCATGTGGATCATAGAATTTTTAAGCTATTGCATAGCTTCTATCGCGGGCCTTGAGTGCGGGAAAATCCAGAAATTCCGTAACGAAAAAACCTCACGCTCTCCGACGGGCACGGAGGTGTGGCTTGAAGGCCGTGCATTGTCTAACGATGGTCTAACGTCGTTTCTTTTCCTCAGTCTTCGACACGGTGTTTGTGTATAAAGTGTTTTGAAATTTTGAATATGAATGAACAAAGTGCATTTATTATTAATGAAGAGTCACGAAAAAATAGTGAAAGAAAATGAGTGAGTACTCTATATACATACCTACATTTTATTATTATCACAAATGCAGTACTAATTTTGAATTGAAAATATAATACTGCTATAAAGATAACCTAAATTTTTGATATTAAAATGAGCGATATTAAAAGTAGCCATCTTTATATACACACAAACACACACACGCGCGCGTATAGTTTAAATTCTCAATTTAGATTCTCAATATGTATATATATACTCGATTAACCGGACTAATTGTTGCCGTTAGGGCTTCGGATAATCGAAAATCCGGAAGATCGAATGTATGAAGAAAAGCGGGTTTTGTGCATTTGTAGTACATATGTACATACATAATGTTATGTGTTTATTAAAAACAACAATTTCAACGAAAATCAATGTTTATTAAGAAATTATTATTTTTTAATAAACATTGATTAAATTCCATGAAGAGATATAAATCTATATAACCATCCGTTACGTGCTGCTATTTTCGTCATTAATTGATATAAAAATACAGTATATTTTCGATTGAACACTATTTCATTCGATTCTGAACGAACTAAAGAATATTCTGTAGCATTATATTCACTCGGTTATATAGACATCATCAAATATAACAGCCATTCGCTTTTGCGTGCCGGTACGGTGGGTTGCGTAATCGTTGAAGTTTTGTGATTGTGATTTTAGTTGGATTTTCTTTCAAAAAAACTGTAAGTAATGTTATTTATCTTTACTACGTAATGTTTTTGAATGATCTAAGTTACAACAAAAGTAACTTTTTATGTTTCAATTGATAAAAAAGTAGAAACAAAAAACCTCTACGCGAACAATTCATAACGATCAAGATTTCTAATAAGATAATAATAGTATATTTCTTATTCGAATACCATAGTAAATACTTTTACTAGGAATTGCTAAATGTTATATCTATATGATTGTATAAGATGCTTTAAATAACTGTAACTAAAACCTCTTTAAACATAAATGAAAGGTCGTGAGAAACATAAATATTTAAAACAAGTGCCGCCAGCTGAGGTGATGACAGAGGCCGCCGTTACAAAGCTGTTTTTTGTTATATGGCGGCCGCAGTAAGGGAAAGGTTAAGTATGTCGTCAAAAGTAAACCAAATTTTATTTTTGAATAGTAACTGAAAAAAATGTAAATAATTGTAGATAACTAAAACTTTGACCACAGTGTAAATAATGTAAAAATTCAATCAAAATGACGTAACATCAATGAGCTTCTAACTACGCCTGAATGAGTTGTTTATTTCCTTTAAAAATTAATTATTTATTTAAAAAAAGTAAATTTTTTGAAAATATGAGTAAATAATTATAACAGATACAATAATTACACAGCTTAGCATACATTCAGACATCCTTAAGCCTATAAAAAGTAGGAAGGGAAGTTCAAATTGAACTTAACATAAATATTTTAAATGATTCTTTTTAAAACACGAAACACTTAATTGATGCTGATACAACTTAAAAATATTTTTTGTCTTCATATAATACTTATAATCATCTAATATTTATAATCGTAATAATCTTTCATAGTAATATTTATAATCGTTATAACAACATACAACAAAACGCGAACACAGCCGACGACTGAACTGAACTAACCGCGTGTACAATGTAATATTTAAAACCGTTATAATATATTAAACAGTTTAAAACAACAGTTAGAAAAATATATTACAACAACATAACGAATTAGAAAAATATAACAGTTTCGCCCATCTTTAGTCACCCCTGTTGGCATCGAGCCGAGCTAGGGAGCAGACGGCGGGGCCGGGCTGCACCCGGCCCGCCGCTAGGGCGCGCTCCTAGCTAGGCACGCGGCGCCTGCGGCGATGACGTTCTCCGGTCGCATTATAGGGGTCGCGAGAGTTTTTGCGCGAAGCCGGGTTGTTCATATATTGAAAGTCTCCTTGATTTGTCTTAGACTTATGTTAATAGAGCGTGCCATTTGAACTTAAAGACAATTAATTGGACAATAAATAATAAGTGACAAATCTTGCCGTGGAGCGTGGAACTGAGTAGTTGCGC